GAGAGAGAGAGAGAGAGAGAGAGAGAGAGAGAGAGAGAGAGAGAGAGAGAGAGAGAGAGAGAGAGAGAGAGAGAGAAAAGAGAAGAGAAAACATGTCAACCGGGGTGAGGGCGTGTGGGAGGAGTGGGAATGTCAGCCTGGGCAATCATTCTATGCTCAACTTGCCACCTGTACAAATCCCATGAATCAACTATTCTTGTACAGCTAGGGTCACTCCTGCTATCAGCAAATAAAATAGGGAAAAACTTCAAAAAAGACGAAACGAGAGAAAAAATACAAGAAAGGCTTCACAGTCACTAATGCCTTCCCCTGAATATGAAGTATGTAGGTTATGTATGAATAGAAAGGACAGAGTACGTTTTGTTCATTTGGGGCGTACTGTGCGTTGTATAAGGGGTTTAGGGTATCAGCTTTCAACAGCACCCATCATGACTGAATGGAATGCGGCCTATGTAAGCTGAGAAAATCAAGGTTTCGGCGGCCCGGGGGGCATTCACGATCTTTTCTCTTGCGGTGACTGTTACTCTGTTGGGTAGTATAGGCCCTCCAAATTGGTTGGGATTCTTCTTGGGGCAACAGGGTCGTTGGTTAATCTGCTCCCGGCCCTGCTTAAGAATGTTTTCCTTGGTCCCTGGTGCCAACTGTACATTTCTGGTCGTCTTTCAATCTTTGCAATTGGCTTGCTGGTGATGAGCAACTGGACTGGTGCTCCCCCACAAGAGTGAACGAAAGAGCCAGAATCCATCATGGTGCAATCTTTGCAGCTCAAGCTTCCCAGCATGAAATATATCTGAAACAATAGAACACATTATACTGCAGTGCCCTGGTTCGGTATGGACCTTTTTTCTTTTTGTTAAAAAATTCCCTTCTTCCTTCTCCCCCTATCCCCTCTCCTTTTTTTTTTTTGTAATAAATAATTCCACCTGCGACAACAGACAGGAGTGATGGTAAGAGCATGCACTCCTACCTGTCTTGCAGGGAGCTCTAGCCTACTGGTGAGGAGCTACACCTGCTGGAAAGCGGGTCCAGCGTCCCCTGAGATACAAAGTTGAGTTGATAGGGCACCACGTGCTGGGAACCGGGCCCAGCGTCCCTGATACTACTTGATGTTGATGATGATGATGATGATGATGATGATGATGATGATGATGATGATGATGATGAAGAAGAAGAAGAAGAAAGGCTATGATAATCCATGAAAGAGCTATGAGCTACATCTGCCTAACCTGGCCTCTTAATCCATGAGCAACTCTTAGCCTCCCCTATACCAGACACAACACTCCAAACTTCCAAAGGCAATATCCGCTTAACCAATACCAGCCATAGCTGTAGTGTTGTCACTACCAAGACTAAACCCGGCCCCTTAGTTTGTCATGGTAACCTCCCCCAGTTTGCCACTGGATTGCCTTCCTCCCTCGACGAATCCCCAGATCTCTCTACCAGACCTCACGCGCCTGCTATAAACAGGTCAGAGGGCTACGCCCCAGCACCGGCCAGCATCGTTCTGGCATCGGCAAACCAAGAGCACAAAACACCACAGCTTTGCAAGGCGTTGGCCAGGCTTCTACCACTTCAAAGATCCTTCATCGGACATGAAAAGAAGATGAAGTATCGCGTAAGATTGTAGAAAAGCCAGGTGAAACTGATGAGTCCCCGATGATAGATTTAGAAGTCAATAAGCAAACACCAAGCCTCCCTTCCACCAAACACTAGATTTAAAAGGTAATGTCAGCCTATTGCAAGGAAGATGAGCAATAGCGAACTTCAGCAATCAAACAACATCATACATATGAGTCCAGATAGTCGTGACCTCGAACGAACAGCAGAATTGCATCACGAGATTCACCAAATAAGAACACACCAAGAGTTCATAATTGACAATGCTGAAATAGTCCCATCATCATCAACGAAGAACCAGAATTGATATCCTATCTGGCGCTCGGCGCCCAGACTACATGTGGCAGATCCTATCTATCCTATGCTACGATGCCGAAAGATGATGTCAGCAGCTTTCCCGAAGTACGAGCATATCGCGACCAATGTCGCACGCTTCCAGCACCAGGTATGTCTCTCGCCACACTCACAACCTCGWTCCCCAACGCACAGATGCCACTAGCACCCAAGGACCACCCTGCGCTTCACCCAGCTTACAGCAGCGCAGCTCGGCTATGGCTGCGTGCTCCTTCCCTGCTCGCCCGTGAGAGCGTAGGCGCCAGCCAGCAAATAGCGCAGCAGCGCTTGCGCAGCATGCAGCCAGCACCCGAATGCGGAATACGGAGGCAGGCCTGTTGCTATATCGAATTGGCCTGCCTGCGTCCAGTCCCAGGAAGCTTCCAGTAGGCCCCGGTAGCCTGAGGCCCAGGACGACGAAAACAGGCCTTGGGCCTGAGGTGGTTGCATGTGCCCAACTACCTTTGGCCTGTGTTTGGCCCAGTACCCGTATCCAGCCCAGGGCCTGCTTCGCATACATTCACACAGGCGGCCCATGGCCTGGGTTCATTCGACCAACTGGCGCTGTGCAACTGCCTGAATTTCCCTGAGTTGCGTGGTGGCCAGAATAGGGCCCTGAGGGCCTCGTCGAGCCTGCCTTCACTTAGGGTGGCCGACGGCCTGCAAAATGGGGCCTGATGGGGCTCATAGAGGCAGTGGCCTCGCATTCCCTCCTCCTTAGCTTCAACAGTCCTCTGAGAAGCTCAGTCTTCAATCATGGGGCACTTTCCCTTCTGCAGAGATTTCTCATAACGGGCTACAACTTGAGGAGCGGTCTGCATGAGTTCTTCCCTCGTGAACCAACGGTCCTCCTTTGGATCAGTATGATGTCTGAACCGAACGCGGTACTGTAGCTTCGGTTTCGGAGGACGTCCCCTTCCTGCAGGTCTCTGAGCTGGCAGCTCCCTGTGATCCACGATGTCATCGATGTCCACTTCTCCATCCATGGTTGGGGGCAGCATTGAGTGACGAGAAGGAAACTCATTTGTTTCCTTGAAAGGTGCAAGCTTGGAGGTGTGAAAGACAGGGTAAGTTCGGAGATGACCTGGGATCCGGATAACATAAGATGGCCCATCCGGATCTGTCCCACCGATGTCCAAGACTTCCCAGGGTCCAAAGTACTAGGGCATGAGTTTGCGGGAAATCCCGTGCTCCTGTCCCAGTTCTGAAGACTTAACCCAGACTCGGTCCCCAACCTGAAACGTAGAAGGACGGCGGTGTCTATTTTCAGACTCTATCATTGCAGCCTGTGCCTTCTGCATCTGTTCTACAGCCTGCTGCATCTTCTGTTCATACCGATAAGCAAATTCTAAGGTACCTGGTGCAACAGTGGTCTGATTCTCAAGAAGAAGAAAGTCTAAGGGCAGTCTAGGCTTGAAAGTTAGCAGTAAGCCGTTTGGGCTCACCCCGGTGGCGCTGTGTACAGCGTTGTTGTACAAGATGACGATGAGAGCAAGCTTCTTGATGTAGTGCCTCAACAGGTGTTGTACAGCGCGATTCAGTTGCTCAACCTGTCCATTGGCCTCTGGGTGATTCCCATAAGTCATCTGCAACTGAGTTCCCTGCTCTGGAGCAGCGGCCTTCCACAACTGGCTGGTAAGCCGGGCATCCCTGTCACTGACAATAGACTTCGGTAAACCAAAGTCTCTAACCCAGTTCTCTTTGAACATTCGGATCACATACTCCGTCTTTGCTGTTTCCGGCATTGCTACTAACCTAGCATACTTGCTAAATCTATCCACAATGACGTAGATATAACGCATTCCACTCTTGCTGGTGATCAGAGTATCCATGAAGTCCATGGACAGACTCTCACCAGGCCTTTCCGGAATCGGAAGCGGCTTCAAGAGCCCAAGAGGAGCCTGAGTACATGGCTTGTCCCTTTGACAGACTTGACAAGTCTCCACGTACAGCTTCACATTTTTCATCATGGTGGGCCACCAGAACTTCTGCAACAGATTGGCTGCAGTCTTCTTAAAGCGAAAATGTCCGGTGGCATCGTGACATTCTCCTAAAAACAAACTACGCAAAGACTCGCTATTCGAAACACACAACCGTTTATTCCCTGCCTTCTCAAGGAACAACAGGCCGTTGACCAACTCAAACTCGGCAGAAGTTACTTTGTCCTTCGCCTCGAGTCTGCGTATGATCTCGGCCATGAACGGGTCCTCGCGATAGACTTCCACCAAAGACTGAGTAACATTGTCCGCAAGCCCAAACTCAGTGATCGGCGCACCAGAGAAATCTGGTCGACGCGACAAGGCATCAGCAACCTTGTTGTACTCGCCCTTGATGTATTGGGGCTCGAATTCATACTGCTCTATGACTTCGATCCAACGCTTGAGAGCGTCAGAGAGTACTGGCTGAGTTCTCATCCATCTCAGGGTCTGATGATCAGTCCTGAGGATGAAGAACCTCCCAAGGAGATAGTGTCTCCAATGGGTCAGAGCCTTGTACACTGCATAGAGTTCCTTCTCATAGGTGGACTTTGCCAACTTCTGAGAGGGCATCTTTTTGGACATGTGCTCTACTGACCTTAACTTTTTCCCCTCCTGTTGTGCAAGTACAACGCCTATGCCATATTGGCTAGCATCCGTAGTTACTATAAAAGGCTTATCAGGATCAAGAAGTTTCAAGACTTCGCATGCTTCAGATGTCTGAAAGCAGCCTCGTATCTCTCAGTCCACTCCCATGGGGTGTCAAGGCGGGTCAGATCAGTCAAAGGGGCGGCGACTATGCTATAGTTCTCCACGAAGTTGCGATAGTAGTCAGTCATCCCTCAGTCACAGACTGAGGACGCGGCCAATCACGAATGCTGGCCACCTTCGCGTCATCGGGCTTCAACCCTTCCGCGGATATCTCATGACCCAAGTACAAGACACGGGTGTGGCCAAACTCACACTTCTCACCGTTGATCTTGAACTTGTGTTGTCGCAGGAGACTGAGGACTTTGTCCAAATGTGCAACGTGCTCCTCGACAGTCTTACTCATGTCATCGAGGTACACGATGACAAACTTATCCAAGTAATAATGGAATATCTGATTCATAGCGTGCTGAAAGGTGCCAGGAGCATTGCAAAGACCGAAAGGCATCACCACAAACTCCTACAGACCGTAGCTGGTCTGAAAAGCGGTTTTGTGCTGATCCTCGGGCCAGATTGCAATCTGATGGTACCCGGACTTCAGATCTATCTTACTGAAGTACCGACACCCTTGCACTCTATCTAACAGATCATCGATGCGCGGTAGGGGTTCTCTGTTCTTTACAATGATGGCATTGAGGCCCCTATAGTCAATGCACATCCTAAGTGTACCCTCCTTCTTCTTAGGTACAAATAATACTGGAGATCCATAAGGAGAGACACTCGGCCGGATCCAACCCTTCTCTACGAGTTCCTTGAGTTGTCGGCGAAGCTCATCGAGCTCGCCTGGAGACATCCGATAGATCCTACCCTTCAGGATGCTAGACCCTGGGATAATCTCTATCGCGTGGACGACCTCCCTCTCTACAACCCCTGTCGGCTCTTCAAATAGATCAGGGTACTTGGAAACAACTCCCTCTATCTCCGGCGGCATTTTCATCGGCTCGCCTGCAGCAGAGACATAAACTAAGCACATACCCTCCTCTTGATTTTTCTTATAATAGTTATAGAACGCAGCTGCACACATGCACCCGTGGGACTCAATCAGACTACTAGCTTTGAACTTACGCAATCTGGCGGTCCCTCCACCTGACAAAGTGTGTTTGACTACTTTTCGGTCCCAGTCAAACTGGGGCTGTGCCACAGAGAGGTAGTACATACCTAACAACATGTCCATGGGGAGTTCATCGCTCACTAGGAACGAGACGCGATGTCTCAAGTCCCCTCCCGCATACAGGAAACAACACTCAACATCTTGGAGGTAGTCATTGACTACCATGCGCTGTTGGTTGGCACTGGTCGACTCCACAGGTCGACTCAGGTGCTGCACTCACCCCTGTAAACGCAGCCTCTCAACGCACGCGCGACTAATAAAGTTCCTTGTCGAGCAAGTGTCATAATAGGCCCCGGCCTTCCGGCCGCCAATGATTACCTCGCTGACGAACATTTCACCCTTCGGGGCTTTGACTAGTGTCGTCCAAGAAGCTAGTTGGTCTGATCTAGACCACTCCACCTCTAGCTCCTCTAAGGACTCAAACACATTCATCGAACAGAGGCTCGATGGGTCTGAATGTGCGTGCGGGACGACGCTGGAGTCAGTAAATTGGGCCATCTCTCGAGATGGTGAGGGTGTCTCCACCACCTCGACCCTAGCAGGAACAGCTACTATTCCTACAGGTTCGACGTGTTTCCCGGAGCACTGCCTGAAGTACTGGCAACATTGTTACCAACGGGATGAGAGGATCCCAACACCTGCCCCATCGTAGGCGGGATCTTCTCGGTTACCTTCTTATTGCGGCACTTGTACTGGCTATGGCCATATTGACCACAACGAATACAGGCCTGCCTTGAGTACCGATCTCTCCACACGTCCTTAGTAAGACCCGCTTTCTCCCATGGGGGAGCATTGGGGTCAACTTGACTCCTTGACCGGGAACCTCCATGGCGTCTACCGGTCGCCTTACCTTTTTGAGCTACGACAGCGACTACTCCACCCTTTGAAGCTTCTACGTTGCCCCCCTCTGAACCTACTCCTTCCTGGAAGTGTTCGTCTACTTCGATAGCAGAACCATCGTTATCGACAAACATTAAGCGGTCCTTCGCCTTCCAGTTGGGAGGCAGTGTCTTCTTCCTCCCATCCGTAGTGGATGCCTGTCCATGCCCTATCTTAGCCTCAAGGTCTATGGTCATCTTGCTGAACGAAGGAAAGTTGTGCATATTGATGCTAGCCTCCCTCTGGTCCTAATGCCAAATGGGCTACTGGGCGCCTTGCCGATCGCAAGATCCGGTCATCCAGTTGCTGTTCCGCCCTATCACTCATAAGATACAGCCCTGTACACAATCTGCACTATTGCACTCTAGGCGCCTACCGCAGCGTAGTGCAAAGACCAATCAACTGGTGGCTATTTCAGAGACTTTACATTCGGGTCAACAGGTAAGTCAGGTTCCTACAAATAAAACTACTTTTTAGTTTGACTAGTCTGCAAACAGAAGCACCAGGAACAATGAACAGTTCTAACTAATCTTGTCTGTCAGATGTCAATGGTTGTACACCTAACTAATCAAAACATAAAAATAGAATTATTTGTGTGGATAGGACAGCATGGAATTTTCTCGAACTTATCAACTGGAATTTACCCCTCCCTTAGTTCCCCTGAGTATCTCTTGACGTCAGCGTCCCTGAGCAATCCGGAGGCGTTGCGTGTCTAAAGGTGTGTGTCCGGCCCACCCCTGTGCCCCGAGTATCTGCTGAGCTGGCCAGCCCTGCACTGGATTATCCTCGCGTGCAGCGAGCCTTACAACCATTGGCTGATCCAGAGGCAATTTAATGTCCGCCCCCAAGTGACTCCAGGAATTCTTTTACGTCGCAGCCGGATGACGATCATAGCCAATGGTTCCCCTTCGAGTGCTTATTTAAAGATGCCCGGTCTCTTCTCCCTCAAGGGCTGGCCTGCCCAACAATACCCATCTAACAGCGCAGCAAGCCGAACAAAGGACAAGCAGCAAGGCATGCGTGCTCTACTCCCGGTGGGTTGGCATGGTGATCGTGACCCAGTGCTTCGTCCAGGGCCCGTCAGAAAGCTCCGCCCATCTTCTCCCAGATGCTCCACGTGAACATTGCCGACTCTCAAGGTTGAGTGCGCTCGACACCTCACAATGAGAGGACTCTCAAGAAGGAACACACAACCTCACGGTAAGAAGTGTCGGAGAGGGTAGATAAGGTTAAGAGCAACGTACCTCAAATAGCTGCCCCCAGCCACAGAGATAATCTCACCAGATGACCAAATGTCAATTGCGATGATCAGTCACTGCATCGGCACAACCAGCAATATCTCGCCGTTCCACCTCAGCATCAATCGCACATTAGATAGTTCTCATCACACTGTCCAGACCACATTATGATACCAAATTGCAAGGAAGATGAGCAATAGCGAACTTCAGCAATCAAACAGCATCGTACATATGAGTCCAGATAATCGTGACCTCGAACCAACAACAGAATTGCATCACGAGATTCACCAAATAAGAACACACCAAGAGTTCATAATTGACAATGCTGAAATAGTCCCATCATCATCAACGAAGAACCAGAGTTGATATCCTATCTGGCGCTCGGCGCCCAGACTACATGTGGCAGATCCTATCAATCCTATGCTACGATGCCGAAAGATGACGTCAACAGCTTTCCCGAAGTACGAGCATATGGCGACCAATGTCGCACGCTTCCAGCACCAGGTATGTCTCTCGCCACACTCACAACCTCGTTCCCCAACACACAGATGCCACTAGCACCCAAGGACCACCCTGCGCTTCACCCAGCTTACAGCAGCGCAGCTCGGCTATGGCTGCGTGCTCCTTCCCTGCTCGCCCGTGAGAGCGTAGGCGCCAACCAGCAAATAGTGCAGCAGCGCTTGCGCAGCATGCAGCCAGCACCCGAATGCCGAATACGGAGGCAGGCCCGTTGCTATATCGAAGTGGCCTGCCTGCGTCCAGTCCCAGGAAGCTTCCAGTAGGCCCCGGTAGCCTGAGGCCCAGCACGACGAAAACAGGCCTTGGGCCGGAGGTGGTTGCATGTGCCCAACTGCCTTTGGCCTGTGTTTGGCCCAGTACCCGTATCCAGCCCAGGGCCTGCTTCACATACATTCACACAGACGGCCTGAGGTGGTTGCATGTGCCCAACTGCCTTTGGCCTGTGTTTGGCCCAGTACCCGTATCCAGCCCAGGGCCTGCTTCACACACATTCACACAGGCGGCCCAGGGCCTGGGTTCATTCAACCAACTGGCGCTGCGCAACCGCCTGAATTTCCCTGAGTTGCGTGGTGGCCAGAATAGGGCCCTGAGGGCCTCGTCGAGCCTGCCTTCACTTAGGGCGGCCGACGGGCTGCAAAATGGGGCCTGATGGGGCTCATAGAGGCAGTGGCCTCGCACTATCTTAAACCAACCCTAATTACCCTTTTGCCACTACCAAGACAATACCCTGACCCTTAGGTTGTCTTGGCGGTCACTCCTAATTAGCCTGTAGATTGCCTTCCACCTTCGACAATCCCGGATCTCTCTACCTGGCCTCACGCTCCTGCTATATACAGGTTACAGGGCAGCACCCCAGCACCAGCCAGCGTCGTTCCGGCATCGGCCAATGAAGAGCTACTGAACATTGCAACTTTGCTTGACGTCGGACAAGCTTCGACCGCCTTTGAAATCTCTTATCCAATTTCCAAAGAACCCAAAGATTACTCAAAGATTAAAAGACTTAGGAGATGACAGAATATGCGGGTGAAAATTGCCCCCCCAACTCTATTCCCACCCTGTCCTCCGCTGCCCCCGCCGAAGGGAATAATTGTAAATCATTGTCAATATCGATCCTCCTCTTTGGCCCCAGCCTTGGACAGATCCACTCCCCCCCTTGCACCCACCAAGGCATCAAGTTCTC